GGGAAGTCACGCTACTGCCCCCGCAACCCGACTCCGGATACGCGGATGAAAATGGATGGATGGACAGACAAATAACAGATTTACACGTAAGTAGTCTCGGTGTGTGATCTGACAATTGATCAACCATTGCTTAAAAATTAAATACAGCTTAGCCGGTTAATTGCTGTCATCATAAAACACGTAAACGGCAGCACGCAGAACTCACGAGGCAACGTTTTACGTGACGTTTACTTGTTGCTATGAGTAATAAGACAGAAAAAGCCACGCCAAAATAAGATTAGGAAGCCCACTAAGAATCATAATTAAAGCATTTAAAATAAATACCATACACAGTTGAGAAACGTTGGTTTAAGTACCTGATATGAAGCGGTCGCTGCATAAGTGAAAACCTTTACTCTCGGGATCCCACAGCTTCATTTTAGCCCGGTCACTAGTGCGTTTTATTACAATGATCCAACGTTTGCGGTGCTCCGGATCTTGGGGAATCCTGTAGACGGCTCATTCCTTATGTCGTCCGTGTCTGTTCTGCATCCTGGGGCACAACAGGAATCTACCATATTTCCCGTTTGATTGAGTTTTCTGACATTAACAAATAGTCCAGCTGCCGGCTTCTGCCTGCCAATATGGCGCCGTTTTGATTTGAACTGTTGCATGCCGGGAAAAGTGACGTCAACTCCCGGAGCTCTATTGAAGGCTGGTGCCCAAATAGCACTAATGTGCAGGACATATCTGTTAGGGCTACATAATCTTAAGACTGGATGCAAAGTAGTGCTTCTGTTTGGACTGCTTAAAACTCAGAACTGGTGCAAACTATCAAATATCTGAATTCTCATTTTTATTTCTTTATATTTGTCATCCCAGAGGACACAAAACATGAATGACTTAATACATCAAAACAAAGACGGAAAATAAAATATAGAAGGACTGTTCGCATTTTGCAAATCTATAGCCAGACATCAGCAGCAAATAAGCTTCAGCATGATCCAGGAGAGGTGGAATTCTGCTCTTTAGAGACATGATATACCTTCTGCTTTGCATCTTTGTGTAGGAAGATTCATGCAGAAGCAGGATAATGAGGCCAAATGCACCTCAAAGCTGCAATAACAACTTAAGATCAAAGAAGACCAAGCAGAGCCTTTAGGATTTTCATCAGTGTGAGTGCTGCTATCACAGAAAGCAAAATGTGAATACTAAATAGATAATAGATTAATCTACATTTTTCAGACATGTCATTCAAATGGTTGAAAGCATCTGTGATTGGACATGTTGCAAAAGCTGCAGGATAGAGATACCGTATTTGCTCTTGTGCTTACAGAATTTCACAGACACTATTCTAATGTTTTATTTAATTTCCGGACATATTGTAAATGTTTGGTAATCAACAAATAACCCGTTTTGTATTCAAGCCACACTACTTTCTTCAGACAAATTATGTTTTTATTCTGACAAGACATTTCTATGCCCACTAAAATCATAAAGCTAACTAAAAATACTTAGAAAAAGTTATTTTTCATCAGTTTTTTATATTTTACTTATATTAAAAGTGTAAATATTTGTATTAATGCTATTTTAGTTAAAAGGGGCAGACAACATAAGTTTTTCTTCTTTCTGTCCCCTTTTTCATTTTGGCTTGCAGCAATTTAGTTCTGACTGTATTTTTATTTTAATGTCAATAAATGAAAATAAAAGATAAAAAAAAATAGTTTAATTAGTATTCTTGGGCAATTGATTCAGAAAAGGGTAGAATGCCTTCTCCAGGTCAGGGATGAGGTCCTGCCCCAAGTGGAGGAGTTTAAGTATCTCGGGGTCTTGTTAATGAGTGACGGAAAGATGGAGCGTGAAATCGATGGGCGGATTGGTGAGCCAGAAGGCAAAGCTCTCGATTTACCTGTCAATTTATGTTCCTACTCTCACCTTTGGTCAAGAGCTTTGAGTAGTGACTGGAAGAACGAGATCACGGAAAGAAGCGGCCAAAATGAGTTTTCTTTGCAGGGTGGCTGGGTTCTCCCTTAGAGACATGGTGAGAAGCTCGGTCATCCGGGAGGGGCTTGGAGTAGATCTGCTGCTCCTCCACATCGAGAAGAGCTATTTGAGATGGCTCGGGCATCTGATTAGGATGTCTCCTGGACACCTCCCTGGTGAGGTTTCTCAGGCACGTCCAACAGGGAGGAGGCCTAAAGAACTATGTCTCTCACCTGGCCAGGGAATGCATTGGAATTCCCCCAGAAGAGCTGGCCCAAGTGGTAGAGGGAAGTCTGGACCTCTCGATTTAGACTGCTGACTCGGATAAGAGGAAGAAAATGAATGGATGGATAGTTATTATAAAAGTGTAAAAAGCTTAATTAGAATTCCTGGGAAACTTGTTTAAAGAGATGAGGTGTAGTTTTTACCATTATTCTCTGCAAAAATGCTGTTGAACGTGAATTAAATGATATCCTGTTGTTGAATAATATTGGCGGGTTTGTAACATAACCATAAAATTCGGGTCTAAAATACAAGTGAGGAGGTACAAGTCTCTGGGCGACGCCATATTATGGGCCCTTCCCATCTGTACCGGGTCGGCCCGGGCCGGGTAGCGTAGGTTGTTTACATATCTGGGTGGCCTGGTATTTTTCCGGGCCAACCAAGGCTCATTCTCAGCCCTCTTCTCGAGGGGGTCTGCTTCAGGCCGACCAGGGCCAACACACCCACTGCTGACAGCAAATTCACACCTTCCATTAGAGCAAGCCTCTGATTGGTGGGTAGAATCAGCCCACATGGGCTTAAGGCAAGGATGTGGGGAATCAACCGGGCCAGGCTGGGGCCGACTGGGGCTACTCGGCCCGGGCCGACCCGGTACTGATGGGAATGGCCCATTAGATGCCATGTTTCCTTGTACGGGAGCCTGGTAGGACATCATTCATGAATGTTGTCATTTTACACATTTACCTCAACATTTTTTTCATCCCTCTTAACTCATTTACTGCAAATGACGACTTTGCATTTTTTTTTTGACTATGTGGGCATCGGAACGAGCCCCCGCACCATGAAAACAAACATCTCAGCTCTAAAGCCGATCTTCATCTGCATACGTCACACGTCGCATGATCAGGAAGCAGAAAATCCATGTGTTTGGAGATCGTTTTGGGCCTCTGCTGTAAAAGAAAGTGAGGAGCGAAACAAAAAAGCTTCTGCCGATCACAGTTCAACAACGGATTATGAAAGAAAGGATGACGCTCGAAATGCACGGATTCTTCCTGATGTAAGAGGTGAGTCTCCGCTTTGTTTTGGCGTCGACATCATCCTAGCGTGCAACGTTTGTGTCTCTTAAAAAAACTGTAAAAACAGTGAGAAACGCTGGCAGCGAAGGGTTTACCGATCAGGAAACGACTGGCAGCGAATGAGTTAACAACGTCCCAACATACCTAAGCTATTAATATATTGTGGAAATTTAAAATGAATAATAATGAAATGGTTTTCTTACATTTCTCTATAAACTTCCACCAATAATACGTTTCAGACCGAAAGCAACTATTGGGACCATCTCGTTGTCCGTTTCGCGCAATGGTCCTCCCGTTGGACGTGCCCAGAAAACCTCACCAGGGAGGCATCCTGACCAGATACCCGAGCCAGCTCAACTGGCTCTTCTCAACATGGAGGAGTAGTAGATCTACTCCGAGCCCCTCCCGGATGACTGAGCTTCCCACCCTATCTCTAAGGGAGATCCCAGACACCCTGCGGAGAAAACTCATTTTGGCCGCTTGTATCCGTGATCTCATTATCGAGATGACAGGCCGTTAACAACGCCTGCATCACTGCAGACGCAGCACCGATCCGCGTATCGATCTCCATCTTTCCCTCACTCATGAACAAGACCCCAAGATACTTAAGCTAGTTTTCCAGCAGAACTACTGGGAGTAATTCGGAGCGGTGCAGCTCGGCCCAACCACAGTTGCTAAGGGCACAGTTTGGTATTTTCTCTACTACTACTTTCGCCCCTACTTTTAGTCCCTGCTCCATTGAGGTACCTGGCAAGGCTGTCAGGCCAGCATCGTGACTCTGGCCGCAGAATTGCTAGTAAACAGAGTCACTGGTTGCTCCGGAGTTTTTTGCTTTCTGTTTCACTGCCTGCAGCCATTTCCTTATTCAGAGTCTGACAAAAATCCATAAAACGGAGCAAAATGTCCAGCAACACCACACGTTTTCAGCTAAGCTGTGTTTCTGTGGAGCACACAAGTTACCTTACACTGTTTACCATTTACACTCATGCTAATGGGCAACACAGGTTGGTGATTTTACATCAACAGCTGGAGTCTTGCTGTTTTTTCCATACTGGTGCAACAAAAAGAGCCACTTACAATGCAAATGTTTATTCTCTCTTTTTTTTTGTTTATTCTCTTAACAAGATATGATAAGGGTTCTTTTGCATGGAATTATAGTGGATTTGGGCTCTACAAAAACAACACAAAAAAACCATCCATGTATGATATTTAAATCTCCACTAGCTGAAAACCCTCTAAAAAAGCTGAACAAGTTGTTGTCCTGAAAAGCTAATTAAAGTTTCTGGCATTGGTAATAATTATTTAAAAGCTGAATCTCCAGCTATACGGCTATTGGCCACATCTTCTCTTGGCCACAAGACTGTAAATAGCTGCCCAAATAATCACTTTCTACTGCTTGCTTTGGATCTTATCTTTAATGTTCTTCTCAGTACAAACTTCATGGTGTAGGAGTTATATTGCAGGTATGGTCTACGACTTTTTCAAGCCTTTTCACTTCTTCGGCACCAACGGTAACTCTAAAAGCAGATTTTATTGGCATGCACATTTTGTTTAGCAAAGTTTAACCACTTACCTGTTAACAAGATATGATAAGGGTTCACATACATAGATGGATAACAGTTTGATGGATTTAGCTAAAAATCACAAACTTATTTACCAACACTGTCAAATGCTTGCCTCAAAATAAAACAAAAAAAAAAAAATCTAAAAAGTACATTATGACAGGAAATCAAAACTTACTTCTTCTTTTGCCAACATCTCCTTTAGAGGTGGCTGCTTCGTTGAGCAGAACCATTCCCATGGTGATTGCAGCATCTGGGGCAATGTTGTCAAGGAAACAAGACGCATTCAGAGGACAAAGCCAGGAACACACAGTGACCCAGGAGGAACTTTTACAAATGCACATGCACTTGTAGATAAGCGTATCCACATACATATGCATAGCTGCACTCTAACAGATTAGAAAGTAAAAAAAAAAAGATGTAAATTATTTGAACACAATCACAGATATGAATGTATACGATGAAGCAATGCCTGCACTTTGAAATCAGTGCATAACCTTCAGCTTAAAACAAACTACCTGCATTGCAAATGTGCAAGTCTGTAAATAAGTCTGTATGTTAGAGCACATTTAGTTTAGTTTTATTATGCAGGATTTTTTTGAAAGAACAACAAACTTCGCTCAGAGATAAAAATGGTAAAAAACCTAAGAAAATAACGAAGGTTTGTGTTTAAGAGAGGGAATGGCATTGCTATTGGCAACACAAAACTATAATTTTTCCCCTTTATGAATTAATATAATATACAGAATTAGTTAAATGTGGTGTGTTACCCTTGAAAGAAACCATTATAATGGACTTCAAATTTAAATCCCTTTTCAAAAGCCCACTTTCAGCAAAAACTTATTTAGCACACATTTTTCTTAAAATGTGTGTATACAATAATGGCATAGACCCTCGTCTCTAACATTTAAAAGGACAGAAGAACGAATCATTTATTGTTCCATCAAATGTTTGAGTGAAATGCTTGGTGTGGACGTCCAAGATGCAGCTTTGCATTAAATACGAGTGTAACAACAATCAAAATGATTGTTGAGAAATAGTTTCCTAAAACTTTACGAGGCTTCAAGGAGTGAGTTAAATCAACAGCAAAGCACTGAGACGGTTTAATCTGAAACAAGAAGAACATAAAACAACTGAGATAAACAGATAAATACATGAAAATAGACAAATAAAGTCACCACAGCTGGTTTCTCTTTATTTTAAATTGATGCTGTTTTTTTATTAATTGAAAAAGTAGAAAATCAGACCAACTCGACAGAAAAATAAAAACATTTAGGATAAAATAAAGATGAACCCGCTATGGTGCTAAAGTGTTGTGAACCCAAGCGAAGTATGTGTGAATCCATGATGAAGTCCTTCTTTGCCTAGTAACTATCAAAATCAAATAATTGACCGTAAATATTAGGACAAACAGCCTCTTCTGTGTGAAATAATATTTTTCCACAACAATTCAATTTTAAATTTCTGAGTCCCAAACCTTTAAGCCAATTTACAAAGTTTACAATAAAAGTAATTGGTGTGGGCTCAAAATAATAATTTTACTTTTTTACTAAACATATGTGATGAAAAAGACTAAATAATGCTCACTAAAACAAACTGATTGCATTCTAAAACACTGGTGCCTGTGCTTCTTTTATAGATTGAGATGCTCTACAGTGGTAAATGTTTATAGACAGACTAAACACTTCACTTCTTAATGAACTGTGTTTAATTCTAGTTTAAAGAGTAATGGCTGAAAAAAATACAACCTTCCAACCAAATGTTTGGAGAGCCAGAGAAGTTTATTAGTCAGTTTATTTTTAACTCATTATCAGAAAATTATTATTCTAACCTTTGTTATGTTTAAAATAGTTGCTTGTTGAGGCTAAAAATAATGATAATAGTAATCAGTAATTATGAACAAGTTGTGCAATCTTCTATATTTGACAGGAGCAAATATTTCTCAGTTCAAAACCTTAGATGCTCTGAAATCTCTGCAAGCACCATCTGACTGGTCTAGGGTCTAATTACAGATTCTTATCTACAACATGGTCTGCATACAAATCCATAAACGAGGAAGACACGGTGGGTGGCAATAACAAGGGAAGTTACAGAGAGGAAGCCAAAGCATCGTTACGAGGAGCCTGGAGAAATGATGCAAACAAGAAAATTTGACCAAATTATGCCACCATCAAAACTGAAATAGGTTGTTCAATAAGGAAAATGTCATATACTTGTTAAAATTTTTAGGAGAATAAAAATGGATGTTTACTCACTTTAGAAAATATCAACTTAAATACGTTTAAAAATGTATTTGGTTGTAAATAAAGGTCGGCCGATATTGGTTTTTCTTTTGCCGATGCAGCTATGCAAGTCCTGAAATGCACTTGCTGTTTAACAACACGTACGCGTGTTTAAATGGCTGCCACACGTGACTTGAATTTATTTGAAGCGTGTTTTGTGCAAATCCCCCAAAATTAACGCAACATGTTTAAACGCTGCACTTTATGAGTTACCTGTAGGTGGAGTTGACAAAACGAGCAACACGCACTCACTTTGGTCACTCCGTCTCTGGTTTAGAGGTCTTTCACACCATTTACGATACCGCTGCTGTATTTTTTTCTGTCGTGATCTCAAAGTTAACCAGTTACTGATCTCTTCTATTGTTTGTTTTGGTTGCACCAAGCCCCGACAATGCGGCTCAAAAATTGGGCCCAACCCAGAAGTACCAAAAATTGCAGTTCCACCCTCATCCACTAGGGGCTGGTATCAGAAGTGAGCAAATCCTCACCGACTCCCATGTTAAAAATACCAATTTCACAGCAGAAATAAACATGTTTACAACCTGGTACCAAAACATGTTTTGGGTTTAAATGATCTAGTTTACACTCATGACAACTCTGAGGGGGGTGAATTTTTTTCTCACTCTTCTGTTTAAGTGTATGAAAAGCCTAAAATTCTGTATAATTAATGAGCATCAGACCCACGTGACCACAGAGCTAGCTCCGTGGAAAGGCCTCAGTAGAGCCTCGGCCTGGCTTGGAAACTGCTCCGGGATTTTGAGTCTCTGTGTTTGTGTATTCTTTTTTTGGATATTTTTTGTGCAAATGTTGGACAAAATGACTTGCTGTGGCATTAATTGCACTAATAGAGCATTCAAGGAGTCTCCACTTCATTTTTTTCGGTAAGTAAAATTATATTTATGTATTTTAGGTCACTGCCGAGCTGAGCTTAGATTTTAACATGTACTGTTAAACCATGAAATTTAAAAGTAATAGGGTAAACCCCAGTGCATTTAACATAATGCTGCACTTTAGAAAATAGGTTGAAATATAACATGTTGGTGGAGCTGGGTTCCCACTATCGGCTTGTGGAGCTCTCGGGAGACCTTCGTTTTCCACCCGTTTCTCTCCTCCCCGCAGCTTAGCACATCTCTGTCTGATCGCGGCTTCTGACTGCTGCGCGGGCTGCTGGCTTGTGGAGCTCTGGGATAAAAACCTTTCCACCCGGTTCTCCCCAGCAGCAGCTCTGCACATCTCAGATCGCAGCGGCGCTTGTCTGCTGTGCGGCTGCCGGCTTGTGGAGCTCTCGGGAGACCTCTGTGTTCCACCCGGTTTTACCCAGCGGTCAGCCCGGCGTATCTCTGACTCAGAAGCTCTGGTGTTGTGCACAGTTAACTCCGATTGTAGCTAGGTTGCTACCTCTGTTAGCTTAGCTCCCACCTCTGCATTAGCTTTGGGTTAGCTTCAGGTTAGCTTGTAGCTAGTTCGACCGGGTGTCGTCAGTTGATCCCAGCCTTACAGCTCCACCTCTCTTCCCTTTTTTGGAATTGTCTCGGCTTGACGGAACCTGTGACACGGTCAAAATGGCGGTGGTGGCCACCTCCCATTTTAGCACTAAAACGTGTTATTGGAGTCTATGGAAACCCATTGTTCAGTGTATGTATGTCGATGGGTTGCACCCACAAACCCGGCTCTCTATCCACTCCGATTACTCTAGTCCAGTACTACATGCAGTGCAGTGCCATGCAGCAGGAAATATGTAAACAAAGACGCAGCTTGTGCCAACACTATCCATTTTTAAACACTGAAATTAACCAAATCTTATTTTTTTGGCACTGCTCAGTGTTAAAATCAGGCATCTAGCTAAAGTTAATCAATCAAGTAAGTAAAATTGACCAGGTAAAATTCAAAGCTGGTAAATAAAAATAAATTAGGGTTAATAACTTTTTAAAAGATTTTTTAGAGCATTTATTAAAACAAATGTTATTCAGGAATGTAAAAACACACAAATTAAACTCTGCAGCACCGGGCAGCTTGTGGATGTGCCTGACTTTAAATCGGCTAACTAAGGAGGTACATCAATGTGGATATATAAAAAATGTTAAAGATCGGCCTGATATATCGGTCTATCCCTACTTGTCTGTATTAATTATCCAAAACAGAGACAATTTATAGCTTATATAAGTTGTGGATCCCACTACAAACATCTTATTTTCAGTATTTGCTGTGACTCACATGTTGATGCTCACAGCTGTTGCTTTGAAATTCAAACAGACCACAGAACACTGGGCAGACTGGTTAATTTACTCCTAAAAAACAAATGGAGTTATGAGAGCGCGACAAATCACACAACAATCCTCAGGTACTTTTAAAATGCGTTCACACAACCAGCACAGGAAACGAGTAGGCGAGTTAGCATTTCTAGATGTAATCAGATTGCTGTAAAATAAAAAGTAGTAAATAGTATGAGCACAAACAAACAAATGTTTCTCTGCAGCAGGTGCAACCTTGGATCTGTTATTTCCACTGGGATGAACGTAACGGTGAGGAATGAATAGTATCATTACCCAAAAACATACAAAAGAAGAAGAGCGACTAAACGTATCGGTATACAAACAGACAGGAGAGCAGACAAACACACACAGAGAAATCTATCCTGCTAAACAAGTCCAAACACACACAACCGGAGCCGTTTGTGAGGAGTTGACTTTGAAACAAATCAGCCAAGGAGAAAAAGTTAAAGGACAATTTCTTGTCTGTGTATTGCCTATTTGTTCAGTCAAGCTGGCAGCGTGCTTATAGGGAATGAACACAGATGAGGTTTTTCATTGGGAACATTAAGGTATGAAAAATAAAAGTAAATTAAATGCAATGCTATTTCAAACATGTACTATATAAGGTAAATACTACCGGTGACTTGGGTGAGCAGCAGATGAATTAACACATTAGTCAGGATGACCTAGTCGGCATTTAACAGATGGAAACTGCGTTGGATGATTAGCATTTTGGAAAACAAGAAGACCAACCAAGACACTGAAAGGATACTCAGAAGGAGGATGATGTGAGACTCAGCCACAAACTGTGCCTGGCTGCTGCCATGAATGTAGCTCTGTGGGAAAAAAAGACAGATGCATCAGTATGGCACGATTCCTTTTAACTGGCAACTTATGTAGTGACATAACCAGAGGAGTTTGTAAAACAAACAAGTAATAAGAACTCGTAGAGCGTGTAACTTTCCATGAGATTGCTTTATGCAAAACCTTTTGGTGGTTGATGGTTGACACGGCAAATAACACAAGGCTTTAAATATCTGAATTTTTATGAAAAATCCAGAAGTTTTCCATGATGCTTTCTTCAGGCAAATAGTTAGACACCATTGGGGCGACGGTGGCACAGGAGTTAAGTGCTCGCCCCCGTAATCGGAAGGTTGCAGGTTCGAGCCCCGCTCAGTCTGTCGCTGTCGTTGTGTCCTTGGGCAAGACACTTAACCCCCTTGCCTGCTGGTGGTGGTCGGAGGGACCGGTTGCGCCAGAGCTCGGCAGCCTCGCCTCTGTCACTGCACCCCAAGGCAGCTGTGGCTACATTGTAGCTCATCCCCACCAGTGTGTGAATGTGTGTGTGAATGGGTGAATGACTGATTGTGTTGTAAAGCACCTTGGCGGATTCCAGGACTCTAGAAGGCGCTATATCAAATACAGGCCATTCACCATTCATTCACCATTCATGACCTGCTGACAAGTCTTGTTTTACAACATGAACATTTCAAAAACAAGGCAACAAATCAGTTAGCAAATAGGCAAATTTGAGTTTATACATCAATCTAAAACCACCGACAAGTGAAACTCGAAAAATCACAATAAGGTGCGAAAGTTCATTTATTCCGGTAATTCAACTTAAAAGGTGAAACTAATAAATGAGATGGACACATTTTATGCAAAGCCAGATTCTTCAAGCCATTTTTGCTGTAATTTATATTAATATGGCTAACAGCTTCTGAAAACAGCAGATTCAAACGCTCAGACAATTAAAAAATTCCATCAACAGATGTTAAAATGCGAAGGAGGGGGTAACATAAGAAATGTGACAGTGGATTTAAAAATGGTTTTATTTGTAATAAAAGGGTCTAAAAACGAGCAAACAGATGGCGCACATTATAAAGATAGTGCTAAAACTCTCAAAACTCTCAAAAGGTAAACATTACAAGACGAATTATCAACATTAAAACACCTGGTTAAAACTTTGTTAAAACTTTTACCGCAACGAAGGTGTTCTAAAAGCACAACCAAGTTGATAAAAGTCTAAAACAATCTACTGACTAAAGCACCTGGCAAAAACTTAAATTAAAAGCTTTACCGCAACGAAGGTGTTTAAAACCGGAGTCAATAAAATTGCAACAAACTAAGTTAACCTTTAAAACGAACACACAAAAAGATCCCACTGGATCACTGAGTTTGAACTAAAAAGTAAAAACTCATCCAAACGAAAAGGGGTTGAAACCAAAACGAAGCATGGAGAACAGCAGAACCCCCGCACTGCTGCCTCCTCTCTCAGAGTTAAAACTACCAAAGTTTAAAACTCATCACAACGAAAAGGGGTTAAACCAAACGGGACCTGGAGGACAGCAGGACCCCCGCACTGCTGCCTCCCTGACTGCTGAAGGCACAGCCTTTTTATCCAGGTGTGGGTAATCAGCAAGATTCGGCTCAGCTGTGCTCCTCCGCAGCCTGGAAGAGAGGAGGAGCAGGGGCGGTGTCAGGCTGATCACTGGGGCTGGGTGACCCTGGCTCCTGGATCTCACTGGCCAGACTGGTAACCATAACATCAATAAAAATGATTTTAAACAGAAATATGTCAGACCTCTGGAAAACAACAAACACTCGGTTTGCGCTCCTTTTTGCTCTTGCAGAAATAAGTTAACTTTTGCTCGATTTTCTATTTTTATTAGTTTCACCAAGTCTTCAAGAAAAAACTATTTGTGTTCACAACATAATTTTACTAAATATCTGACATATAAAAAAAAAAACCTTTTGATTAAAAAATCTTTACAAAATGACAAAAAAGGAAAGTTCAACCGCAAAATTATATCGTTTTATACTGTAATGATGATGTGAGTAGCTGTATAGAATAGGAATTAGGACACTATGAGAAAAAGCTTCATCATAAATAAGATTTAATATATTTTTACTGACTTCTCCAAAACACTGGAAGAAAATGTATGCCTATACTAGAGGGGTCTTTTAAATTTACAGAGAAATTCACTATATATATATATATATATATATATATATATATATATATATATATATATATATATATATATATATATATATATATATATACACAGAAAGGAAAAAGGACAACCTTTTTAAATTCTAGGGAAGCTTCCACGCAGAAAAAGCCCCAGCTGGCCATGAAACTAAATGATCTCTATTATTTGAGCACAAAAACTGTCCTTGACATACGATAACCTAAACTCAGTTACAGCCAAAGTGGCTTTCATTTTCTGGCTTAATCATATCCTTTGCTTCATCAGAGTGGATGCAAGAAACCAGACAGGGAAAAAAAAAATTATAGTAAATGTCTCTTTGAGGACGATGACACCATATGGAAGCTTTGAGAAGGTTTTATGCATGTAGATAAAATCCAAAGCCTTCCACGAGTGTGCGGGTCATTGCATCAGCAGTTGTGTGTGTGTGTGTATATGTGCACTCAAGACAAATTGTTGTGTAGAAAAACAAAAGAGATGCTACTTTTACCAAGGAAGCAACAAGGTCAGTCTGAATCACAAGCACAATAAATGCAGACACAGAAAACTGTATTCTCGTTTCTTATAATTCAGAGTTTTTTTAAAAAAAGACCTAAATGTATTTTGTTCAAACAATTTATACTCTAGAACAGAAATGTCATGGATTTTGAGTTAATAAAAATTTGTTTAAAGATTAAAAAAGTGGCATAGTGGTATGAGTGAGACAGAGATCGTGGGTTCAAATCCACAGTTGGGTCATACCAAAAGCACTTTGTAATGTCCAGCAATGGTCAGTTTTTAGGTACTGTTTGACCATTCAACATCCGGTCAAAATGGAGACACGAGACTGCATGTGTTCCCTTTAAATCAGCCTGCCTTCATCCCATCAGCTGGAGCTCAGAGACTCTCTGCAGCTCTGAACACAGATAACAAATTGTCAACAACAATGTTCTCTCCTCAAGGTCCAGCTTCCCTTATCGTCCTACAGGATTCTTCATGCCTTCCAATAAGGAACACTCACAGCTCGGATCAGTTGCTGAATCAAAGAATGATTTCCGAAATTAAATATAAACTTCTAACTCATAAGCTAGATAATAATTAGAGGTGTGAATCTTCACTTGTCTCCCGATTACGATTACGATTATTGGGTCAACGATTCAATTCGATTCAATATCCCGATACATCACGATTATTTCCTATTGATTTGTTCTCATTGATAAATAGAAGATGTCACATAATTGCTTTTTATTTAAAATTTTTTTAATCAAAAATGTAATTGACACAACCTGCCATCCCTCAAAATCTCAATTCACAACAGGTTAGGACAAAACACTTTAAACATTTAAGATTTAACAAAGTAAAAACAATCCGTTTCCTCATTCAACACCACGCCTCAGGCTGAGAAAAACACGCTTTGCAAAAACTCACAAAATCTAAAGAAGTACTGAAAACCTATAGAACACATAATGTAATAATAAAATCAATAATGGGTTCATATATGAGTGTTTAATGTCTCTGAGCAGCTCTAGAGTCAAATATTTATGCCGCAGTTCAAGGGTGTCGGAAATAACACCAAATGAAATGTTTGACTTAGTTTGTTATTTTATTTGAACCCAGTGGTTCATTTCTGAAATGTTGGAGAATGAATCAAGTTCTGTTTGATGTAGAAAATAATAAAACATAAAACAAATTCTACACTTCCAATAATATTTAAGATGCGTGTTTTATTCTTTCTAATAATAACACCAGCAGAAGGCTGTGGGCTGGATTAGGATTAAATTAGCCAGCTGATGGATCTATTTCACTAACCAGCTAACTACAAACCTTTCCACTAACCTGTCCTGTGTGACCCTCACCCTTTAACCCTCATGTCCATGCTGTCTCTGGAGGAGCTGATAGGAAACAAGATCTCCTGTAACTTAAAATCAGGGTATCTGCAGATTTAAGGGAGCCAAATTTAAGACTTTTTAAGACCTTTTTTAAGGCCAATTTGACCAAATTTAAGCTATTTTAAAAATTAAATTTAAGCGATAATTTCCAGCTATTGCCTGGAACCGGTGCTAACCACGTCGCGAACGTGGGATTAGCCATCCAGTTACCATTAAACTTGCCCTTCCCCATGGCGCAAGCTCCCACTAGCTTAACCAGCTAATGTGCTCATCTAGAAAAATAGCCCCCTTTCACAACCAACTGACTGCGTACGGTTCCGCTTACGTCAACGTCATACACAAAAAATGCTGAACACTAACTAGAAATTCACGAAATTTTTATAGAAATAAAAGAATCTTGTTTCATTGGTACCATTGGTCATTGGTAATTTAAGACCTCTGGAAACTGGATTTAAGGATTATTTGTCATTTTTAAGGACTTTTAAGGCCTTAAATTAGGAAAAGCTAATTTAAGACTTTTTAAGACTTTTTAAGGACCCGCGGATACCCTGTAAAATGAACCAAAGCTTCCTCCCAGCTTCTCTTTAAACTGAAATTTAACATCAATTTATCATCATGAAACAAAAGAATAAAGTGGAACAATAACTTCTATTTCTTTCTACTTTTAACTTTTCCATGTCTCTAAATAAAAGAGACAGACGATCACGCTGCAGCCGCCGTCATTGACCCCGTCCCCTCCCCAAGACCGGATCTCCCGGCATCACAACACACGTCTGACTGAGCGCTTCGAGGAGAAATAATAATTAATTTATGAAAATAATAATGCGTGTCTGGAGGAGCGTCCTCTGATCTTCTCTCTTGTGTAAAATAAATTCTTACTTTTATAAAACTGACTCTTTTCTCAATCAAAACGAAGTGTGTACAATCCCTTAATAAATTAAGAATCCTAGAGTCTTCTGATTAACACAGTAAAGA